GTGGCATTACAGCTCACAGCAACCTCCAAATCCTGGGCTCAAGCGAGTCTCCTGCCTCTGCCTCCCAAGTAGCTGAGACCACAGGCGCCCACCACAACGCCGGGCTATTTTTTGGTTGCAGTCTTTAGGAGAGCTTAGTAATCTTCAGCAGAGAGATGCCGTGGCTGGCGTTCTGCAGTCACGAGAGGAGACAGAGTCAGAGTGAGCAGTCCGTGATAGAATGCACATGCTCCCGACTGCCTTCTCCTCCGGTCTAATAGAAGGCTGATCTTGTGCCTCTCAACACCACAGGTGTAGAGACTGCCAGTTCACCAATGTTCTCATCCCGTGAGCTCTCATGCTTGTTAGGAGAGCTAAATCCCTCTCCGTGCCCTTTTCATCAAGGTATTCCATTATTGAGCTATACAGGCACTCCTCCTAGCCATAGGCTATCCGGGCTGCTACTGGGTTTTGAGGAAGTAGCAGCAGCAGCATCTGCCATGCCACAGAGTCTTCTGATGCAACTAAAGCAAAATACCTAAGCCAGGTGCAGAGCAGCTCAGATGAATTGGGAGAGCGGCAGCGCCCTTCTCCTTCCCTGTCCTGAGGCCCACAGAATAGAGTCTGAAAACAACTTGCCTAGACCTTAAATGGTCTGTTAAATTCTGTGTTACATAATTTCAGTAATCCACATTTATATGTATTGTAAAATAAAAATCATTTTGGGAAACTTCAGATAACTTATAAAATTAGTGAAATTCGTACAATAGTAAGCTTGTTTCTTATATTACATTTATTTATTTATTTTTGACACAGTCTCACTTGTTGCCCTCAATTCATTGATATGGTGTCATAGCTCACAACTACCTCAAACTCATGGGCCCAAGTGATTCTCCTGTCCCAGCCTCCTGGGTAGCTGGGACTACAGGTGCCCACCACAGCGCCCAGCTATTTTTAGAGATGGGGTCTCACTCTTGCTCAGGCTGGTCTCAAACTCCTGAGCTCAAGCGGTCAACCCACCTCAGCCTCCCTGGAGTCCTAGGATTATAGGTGTGAGTCACTGTGCCCTGTATTCTTATGTTTTTTGTTAATAGTTATATAAAGTGTTTGAATTCTGAATAGCACATCTTTGAAAGATGGCTAGTGTCCCACTCTCTGAGGATCAGTTATTGAAATCAGAAATGGTTAATCTAAAGTCTAAGATATGGGGCCGGGCGTGGTGGCCCACGCCTGTAATCCAAGTAATCTGGGAGACTAAGGCAGGTTGATTGCCTGAGCTCACAGGTTCGAGACCAGCTTGAGCAAGAGCAAGACCCCATCTCTAAAAATAGCCAGGTGTTGTGGTGGG